TAGTTTAAGAAGGATGGGTATTAAATCTTCTTTGAACGTTTTGTAAAATTCACCAGAGAAGTCATCTGGTCCTGGACTTTTATTTTTTGGTAGGTTTTTGATTACCAGTTCAATCTCTTTACTTGTGATTGATCTATTCACATTCTCCATTTTTTCTTGGTTCAGTTTTGGGAAGTTGTACAAGTCTAAGAATTTATCCATTTCTTCTAGATTGTCCAATTTGTTGGCATATAATTTCTCATAGTATTCTCTTATAATCCTATGTATTTCCGTCCTATCTGTTGTAATTTCTGCTCTTTCATTTCTAATTTTATTTACTTGAACCTTTCCTCTTTTTTTCTTAGTAAGTCTGGTTAAGGGTTTGTCAGTTTTGTTTATCTTCTCAAAGAAGCAACTCTTTGTTTCATTAATCCTTTCTACTGTTTTTTTGGTCTCAATTTCATTTATTTCTGCTCTGATTTTTGTTATTTCTCTCCTTCTGCTGACTTTGGGCTTTGTTTGTTCTTCTTTTTCTAGTTCTGTTAGGTGTAATTTAAGTTTACCTATTTGGGCTTTTTCTTTTTTGTTAAGGTGGGCTTGTATTGCTCTGAGTTTCCCTCTCAGGACCGCTTTTGCTGCATCCCATATGATTTGGTATGGCATATTTTCATTTTCTTTTGTTTCTAGATATTTTTTGATTTCTCCTTTAATTTCTTCAATGATCCATTGATTGTTCAGTAGCATGTTGTTTAATCTCCACATTTTTGTCACTTTCCCAGTTTTTTTTTCGTGGTTGATTTCCAGTGTCATAGCATTATGGTCTGAAAAGATGCTTGTTATGATTTCAATCTTATTAAATTTATTGAGGCTTGCTTTGTTTCCCAACATATGGTCTATCCTTGAGAATGTTCCATGGTGTAAGATAATGGTCTACTTTCATTCTTTTGCATGTGGCTGTCCAGTTTTCCCAGCAACACTTATTGAAGAGACTTTCCTTTCTCCGTTGTATGTTCTTGGCTCCTTTGCAAAAATTAGCTGCCCATAGATATGTGGATTTATGTCTGGGCTCTCAATTCTATTCTTTTGATCTGTGTGTCTCTTTTTCTGCCCGTACCATCCTGTTTTGATTAGTATAGCTTTCTAGTGTAGTTTGAAATCAGGGAGTGTATACTTCTAGCTTTGTTCTTTTTTCTCAGGATTGCTTTGGCTATTTGGGGTCTTTGGTTGTTCCATGTAAATTTTAGGAGTCCTTATTCTATTTCTGTGAAAAATGTCATTGGGATTTTGATAGGGATTGTGTTGAATCTGTAGATTGCTTTAGGTAATATGGACATTTTAACTATGTTAATTCTTCCAATCCATGAGCACGGAATATCTTTCCATTTCTTTATGTCTTCTTCGACGTCATTCAAGAATGTCTTATAGTTTTCAGTGTACAGGTCTTTCAGTCCTTGGTTAAATTTAACCGTAGGTATTTTATTCTTTTTGTTGCTGTTGTAAATGGGATTGTTTTCTTGATTTCTCTTTCTGCTAATTTGTTGTTAGTGTATAGAAACACTACTGATTTTTGTATGTTGATTTTGTACCCTGCAACTTTACTGTATTTATTATTTCTAATAGTTTTTTGGTAGATTCTTTAGAGTTTTCTACATATAAAATCATGTCATCTGCAAATAGTGACAGCTTTATTTCTTCCTTTCCAATATGGATTCCTTTTATTTATTTTTCTTGCCTTATTGCTCTGGCTAGGACTTTTAATAGCATGTTGAATAAGAGTGGTGGGAGTAGGCATCCTTGTTCTTGGAGGGATAGCTTTCAGTTTTTTTACCATTGAATATGATGTTAGCTGTGGGTTTGTCATATATGGCCTTTATTATGTTGAGGTACTTTCCTTCTATACCCATTTTATTCAGAGTTCTTATCATAAATGGATGCTATATGGTGTCGAATGCTTTCTCTGCATCTATTGAGATGATCATATGATTTTTGTTCTTCCTTATGTTAATGTGGTGTATCACATTGATTGATTTGCAGATGTTGAACCATCCTTGCATCCTTGGAATAAATCCCACTTGATCATAGTGTATGATCCTTTTAATGTATTGTTGTATTTGATTTGCTAATAGTTTGTTGAGGATTTTGGCATCTTTGTTCATCAGTGATATTGGCCTGTAATTTTCTTTTTTTGTGTTGTCCTTGTCTGGTTTTGATACCAGAATAATATTGGCCTCATAAAATGAGTTAGGAAGCATCCCCTCCTGTTCAATTTTTTGGAAGAGTTTGAGAATGATAGACATTAAATCTTTTTTGAATGTTTGGTAGAATTCACCAGAGAAGCCATCTGGTCCTGTACTTTTGATTTTGGGGATG